ATTTCTTCATCTGTGAGGAGATTGTTCAACCTTCACTGCCATATAGTATGAACGATATTACATAACAAACAGTTCAGGACTCTTTTTCGAATAAAATTTTCCCGAAAGAAATATTATCATTATTATTAATAATAATAATGTCGCTAAATAAAATACTCTCGCTTTACAGTTAATGTGGACAGGACAGAACGGAAATATTTGAAAATAGTCAACTCAAAATGCACATAGGTTACAACACGATTTTAGGGTCAGTATTTCTTGACAGAGAAAATTTTAAAAATGAATGGACTTGTATTTTTCACATGGCGTGACATGTGAGCTTGTCGTGGCCTGTTTTCTGAGTGGCCGGGGCTGGGGGCAAGATAACAAAAAGCAGCATGGGTAAAGGAAGGCCACTCCACGTATTGAGCTTTCTCGCGTTTACTGGTTTACTCATGAACGAACAACTTAACCGGTAGCACATCTTTCAATAAAGAACATATTCAGTAGGAGGAACAGACAGGGGCAAGAAAAAAATGCAGCTTCGCGTGCTTAGATTTAAATTAAAAGACGAGAGGAAGAAGAGAAATAAAGATTGAATTTGAAAGTAACTGTTACTGCTACTGCTACTGCTACTGCTGCTGCTGTCGCTAGACAAAAAATAATGAGAGGAAGAGATGATGAAAAAGATAGGGAGGGCAAGTAAGAGGAAATAATTACGAAGGAGTAAGAGTATTAAATAAGTGACCACGTAAGCGACATCGGTGTTGAAATAATCGTTGTCGCTACTTTGGCGAGAAAACAAAAACTATAAAAGGAAGAGAAGATAAGCGATAAAAAAAAAGAAAAGATGTGAAAATAACGTCAAAATCAAGGAGTAAAACGGGATTCATTAACCTGCTGCTTATTCGTCTAAATGTTTACGAATATTGCTCTACAGACCAGGTATTATACTTCCTAAAATCTACAGGAATTTCGCTGCAGATTTTATCCTCCAGAGGATTTATACAAAGGAATATATATATATATATATATATATATATATATATATATATATATATATATATATATATATATATATATATATTTGAAGTCCTTGTACAAAATGGTACAAAACTAAATAATTTCATAAAGGCCAGATATCATTAAAAGAGCTTAAAATAGAGGAATTTTATTTTATCCTATTTGTAATAATTCGTATACTACAAGAAATATATATATATATATAGTCTTAAGATGTGCTAAAGTGCTCAGTATCAGAGATAGAGCATGTGTAATAAAAGGGAATATAGAAGTCAACACTTAGAGGTGACAGTCACTTTATATATATATATATATATATATATATATATATATATATATATATATATATATATCCCTTTGCAGGAGAAATCTTCGTTAGATCGAATGTGCTTTAACCGACCCGGTTACGAAGAGCTTCGCGATTAACAAAGGCTGTATATATATATATATATATATATATATATATATATATATATCCCTTTGCAGGAGAAATCTTCGTTAGATCGAATGTGCTTTAACCGACCCGGTTACGAAGAGCTTCATGATTAACAAAAGGCTGTATATATATATATATATATATATGTGTGTGTGTGTGTGTGTGTGTGTGTTCAGGCAGAAAATTCTCTTTTAGGCATGTCTGAGTGAATAAATTACGGACATTATGTTTGCTAATTTTTAATAAAATCAATTCATCCGAAAAATAACGGAACGAATATGAACGAATTTTATTAAAGGTTAGCAGGCATAATGTCTGTAATTTATTCAATCAGACATGCCTAATATATATATATATATATATATATATATATATATATATATATATATATATATATATTTATTTATTTAAAGACATTTTTATGTTTAACGTTGTTATTTATAGATACAAGTATTTAAGCAAATGCTCTGTTTATGATAAACAGTATTAAATAACATTTACCGGCCTGAATGTCCGAGAAATTTTCATAGAAAATATTCGTTCTTTGACAGGATTCTATGAAAATTTCTTTGCTTAAATACTTGTATCTATAAATAACAACGTTAAACATAAAAATGATTTTAATAAATAAATTGTCGGACCTTGTCCATTTCTTAACACACACATATATATATATATATATATATATATATATATATATATATATATATATCGTCTACAGTTGTTCTCTCACAGACGCGCCGTCGCCGCTCTCTGTCTTTTTTAAAATACTTTCATGGTAATTGCTCCGAGGAGCTGCATTCGCTGGTTCCCAGACTTCATGAATTCAAGCACCCTACGAGGCTGGCATCTCGCTCTCACCCTTTCACTGTCGAAACTACTAAATGTCTCTTCTACTTCAATAGTTTCATGTCTCGCACCTCTCGCCTGTGGAACTCTCTTTCCTATTCCAGTTTCCCTGAGAGCTATAATCTCCAACTATTCAAATGTAATGTTAATCGACATCTGTTGCCTTGATCTATCTACTATTCTTCTCATCATCCTTTCCTCTATCACTCCTATCTGATCTTGCTCCAAATCCTCTGTAACCCCTTGCGTCCTAGTGGCTTCCCGCCTTGCTTGGAGTGAAACGCTAAATAATATATATATATATATATATATATATATATATATATATATATATATATATATATGATTAGGTTATGAAAAACTTGGTAATCCGTATGGGTAGTCCCAAGGAGGATTAAATCCTGAGAGCTCAATGTAAACACTTCCAAAAAAGAAATGAAAGATGAATTCCATTTCAATATATCACTTCCGTTAAGTTAACCGTTTAAATAGGTCAACGTCTGGTCCCTCCTCCCCCAATACTAAGTATGATTGAAAGAAATATTAAAATAAACCCTCTCTAAACTCAACCATGTCTCTCCTACCACTCCTCGCTACCCTATCTGTTAAATTACATAAACTTGATACTACCCGTCAAAAGTGTAAATTTTCATTTCATCTTTCATTTCATTTTTGGAAGTGTTATCTGATGATCCAGCGTCCCTTAAAAGGGCTCTGGTCAAATAAATTATTATAATGGAACCTTAAAGTGGTCAGTTTTTCTTTAATATATATATATATATATATATATATATATATATTATTTTTTGCTCGTAATAATAAATACATTGACCTCTTTTTAATATCAGTTTTAATATTTCATATTACTAAGATCGACTTGAATTAAATACCAACGGATTTCTTATCTTTACTATATATATATATATATATATATATATATATATATATATATATATATATATATATAAACTGCCTTCAGTTTAAACTGATGCCTTCTTTTTACCAAACAAACTATAAAATATTGTAAATTAAATATTTTTGAAAATTTCAAAGTTTTCTTCTGAAATTAATCAAATTTGCCTTTTAAGCAAAAATGGTCAGAACATATGGGAAAAAAACTGGGCGAAAGATTAAAATGACGTCAGGAAGATATATGTCAAATATACATTTACTCTTCACAACAAGTTGACAATAAATTTTGTTCCCAGCAGAAAGATGATATATATATATATACAGTGTAACCCGGATATAAGAGAGTTGTCGGGACCGAAGAAGAAGTCTCTTATATCCGGGTTTCTCTTATATCCGAGTTTGGTCTATTTTGTTTAGGTAAGTATGGGAACACTTTGGGACCAGATAAAATTTCTCTTATATCCGGGTTTCTCTTATATCCGGGTTTCTCTTATATCCGGGTCTCTTATATCCGGGTTACACTGTATAACTGGTGTAACAGCAAAATTGTCCAAATCGCGTAACAGCTTTGAATAATTCTCCATTCCATAAAATGTATTATATCTTAAAAAAAAAAAAAAAAAAAAACTAATTGAGCTTCTTTTTCTTTTTCCAGATTTTCAAATAAAACGTTTAAACATCTTGACACCATTTTTTACAAGAATAACTGAAAAACCCTTTGAGTTATTCAGCTAGAAAGAGAGCGGATTAAAATTGTTTTGTGTCAGCCCAACTATATCTTCCCAAATGAGCAATGGTGAGAGGAAAAAGATCATTAAGGTCTTCGGTAATGGTATGAACATTCATATTCTGGCTTCTATCTTCAAAGTCCATTCAAGAACCATCAAGAGAACGGTGAATAAATTTTAAAAAGAGTGAGCAATAGAGAGGAAAAATGGATCAGGAGTTCACGACAGGAAGAGGGCCCATCATTTCAGCTTAGAGCTAAATACATTCTTATTATTCAAAGTAGAGTCCAATAAAGTTATAAAAACCTCGGCGAATTCCAGTAAGATATCTTTAATCATTTTTAAGATACAACGGTTCAAATCTTAATCTAACAATTTGACAAATTTGCTGTTACACGATTTGGACAATTTTTCTCCTACATCCGGTGATATAATACACCACGTGTATTTATATATTCTTTGTGATGTAACCTTTTGCTGTACTAGAGTTATCGCTCTTACACTGGCCACACCGGGCGCCTGTGTTATTACTCTGAGAATGGCGGACTATTAGAAGATGTTCATAAAGCCGTAAGGTGAAAAGAATGAATCCGTAAAAGAATACAATAGTAAACGAAACAAAAAACATATAAATAAAAAATAATGAACACATTATTTAATATACGGAGTAGATTGTTCTTGGTCTAACGTCCGTCACTAGGGATATTTCGTTTTGTTCTATTTTTTACTCAGATATTACTCAGTCTCAGTGGAAACAGGACGAGCAATAACTGAATATTAATAATAACTGAGTATTAATAAGTGAGTATAAATAATAAAAACAGAAAAGCCACGCTATCCTTTGACAGGAAAAGTGCAAAGAGAACACTCGTAGATTAAATAAAGGATTCAATTCCAAATTCATTGAAGGTTAACTGGATTGACAGACATAAAGAAAGGATACAAAGTTATGTTAATAACAACAAAGATGGGGATATTACTTTGAATAATTAATCTAAATAATGATAACTTTTCGTAACAAAAAATCCAGATAAAATGAATAAACTAGTTTAAACAATAAAAGTAATGACAACCTACGGCCATATCACATTGAAACACCGGATCTCGTACGATCACTCGAAGTTAAGCAACATCGAGTCTGCTCAGTATCTAGATGGGTGATAGCTTGGGAATACCGGGTGGTGTAATGGAAATTGGCGCTAGCTGAGTTCCACTTCTAATCGGGTTAGCAGCACTTGAATCACTAAATTATTATTATCTCAAAGAAAATTCTCATAATCTACAAATATTTTCTGGCTTTAAATAACCTGCAAAAGGTTGATAAGCCGTAAAAACAAATCATTCAATTAATGATTAACAGTATCAACTAGTTGGATAAAGAAAGAAAATAAGTACATATGTTAATGATCATTTATTGTTTTTTTTAAGTAATTTTTATATAGTCGCTTGAGTGATCTCTTATATGATCATTTCAATGATCTTTTATATGGTCATTTGCGTTATCGCTTGTATGGTCATTTGAGGGATCTCATATGGTCATTTGAGTAAACTCTTATATGGTCGTTTGAGTAAACTCTTATATGGTCATTTCAGTGAACTCTTATACGGTTGTTTGATCATCTAATACGAGTCGTATAATTCTACCTGGCGGCGTAGTGGTGCTCAGAGAAAAATATAGATATAGAGCTGAATTTGAAAGTCCACTGTAGGTTAATCTTCGTAGCCTACTCGGTAAAATGATGACACGGTAAGGGAGATTTCTAAGAATAAATGCGTTCAGATCATACTCGCAGCATTTTTCTTTATTTTTAATCCATTGAATAAGGACCAAGGTAAAAAAAAAAACAAGCAACAGAAAATAAATGAAAGAAATACAAGTCAAAATAAATTATAATGGCGGCGGGAGTTTGAGAGATTTATTATATTCCTCCTCTTCATATTTGGTGCCTTTAGACTCTCCTTTGAAGTGTAAGGCCACAGCATCACCACATTAGGTGTTGCTATAACAGTTTCTACAGCAAGTTTTTTTTTTTTTTTTACGGGGTGGAACTGGCGGCCTTTCGTTCAAAAGGGTTGAATTCAAAGTTGGCCTTCTCTGGTTGCCAACCAAGGCCAGATAGTGTAGTCTGCGCTCTTATTTAACCCATAGATAGGCCAATAAGAGATAGATTCATACCTTTTTCGAGGGTATTTGTGCGGAAGTGAAAGCAACGAACACAAACAGAATTTGAACTCCTTACGCAGATTTCACTCTCTGCGCCATAATTGTTAATATTAAAAAGACACAGAGATACATGAAATATATACCAGCCATATTCTGTCAGTAATACCTACAATATTTCCTGACCACTGACAATCCTTTTCTTCCACATTTGCAATGCGCAGATCAGTTGCCGAAACATGCCATAAAGTATTCCAGGTCGACCTTTGCAGAATTCGTGTTTACTCAATGAATATTTTTCCCAGAGAAAATGATTAAAACAGAGTGAAGAAGTGGAAGAGTACCGGTAAAGTCAGTGGGCAGTGATTAGAAAAAATGAAACTAAAATACAATGGAACTCGGCTGTGATCAGGACCACTCCCTTACCACGTAGAAGAAGACGGTAAATAATTTTATCTGAGTCTGAAGTACCTGATGTTTTATGACTACAGAACAATAAAATCTAAGAAGTAAGATCTTAAAATCACTAACCAAAAATGAAATGAAATAGATAAATAAATTAAATTTTTCGGGAAGTTAAAAAGTTCTATTCACAGGCATATAAACAGTTACAATAAGATTTGAAGGTAGTTCCGATACGGACTGTGCAGGGTATAAGCTGCCATTAAAGAGAATATTTTCAAGCGACTCGTGGACGAGTTGCCAGCCGCGTATCGAGATGTAGCGACGGGCAGAGGAGAAGTAGAAGAGAGTCCTCGTTGGGAAGAGCTGATCTATTAGCCTGTTGTGTCAAGCGTAGCAGAAGTTGTTCCAAGTGTCACTTATCTCTCACCCTCGCCTTATTCTGTGTAAATTGAATCTCTGAATCAAATACATTGGAAAAAGTATCCCTCTTTCCATTTCTTTTATCTCTTTGTGAACATGCAACGGATCTTTCCCGGTTTTTGTGCACACCGATGCAAACAAGAAGTGAGACATCATGGCCGCGGGGTGATTTGTCCGTTTGGTGAAAAGTTGAGAGGGATTCGGAATAAGTTTACAAAACCTTATCTATATATGTTGGATGAGAAATCTTTCCTTTTTTCTATTGTCACCCCCACCCCCTTAGTCTCTCTCACCACGATTAGGCGCTGAAATAGCAGTCAAAATATGACACTTACTAAAAAATCAAAAGATTATATATTATTATTTAACTTTAAATTTATGAATGCATTCTAGTGGAACTCGGCTAATTTCTTTTTCGTCTTGTTCTTTTCACGTTTCGGAAGTCTCTCCATATTTAAGGATTATTCCTTTCTGGTGGGAAAAGCGATGCCGGTTTATAAGGCTAGATTTCAAATCTCATAACATTAACAATGATTCAACTCTATGACCAGCCACTGGGAGATTCATTCAAAAATCTATATAGATTTTATCCTTCTAAAATCTGTAATTCCCAAGATGCAACCAACATGTCTCTGCCACTTGTTTTTCAATGCAACGATAAAAAGTAAAAGAACAGATATTGTGCTTTGATCTTAGACAATGACAAATAAAAAATATTTATAAAGTACTTAAAATGCAAAAATGGACCTGCCTCCAATCTGAGATATTTATTCAACAAATTTATCCTAGTAAGGCACAATGCCACAAGTGTCGAGCACTCAGTGAAGATCGTACTCATTTTACTAGCAAACGTGTACGCGACACGAGCTTGATAGTTATTGTCTATGTATTTCCCAGCGGCACCAGTGATTAATATTCAGGATCAGGTAAAAGCTATAATTCCATATGCTGATTTTAAAGTCAGGCTCTCCTCCAGTTGCAAGACGACTGCAGCAATCTCTCTCTCTCTCTCTCCCCCCTCTCTCTCTCTCTCTGCCAGAACAAGCAAAGCTTAGTAAATACTATACTTTCAAAGACACTCAAAGAATGGCTTCTCCATTTCAGTTGCTGCTTGGTTCGTTCTCTCTGTTTTTAGCATTTAATCAACTGTCATCTAAAATTAAATTAACTAAAACTAAAGAAATTTCGATTGATACACAAAGCTGTAAACCGGGCAACGCTGAATATCATTACCACTAAATATAGAGCATATTTGACTGCAGAAATAAATTAAAAGTATCGGGTGCGTGTGTTTTTCTTCATGGATAACAAACTTAAATATATGTGCGTGAGTGTGCGCATGCGCGCGTATGTTAATAACTCGTTATGCGCATGTGTGTAGGCCATATTATTATCAATATGTTTGTAAGTTCAGTTCATCCCTGTACAAAAAGAAAAAGTGAAAATAAAACAAAACTTGTGGCGGCGTTTGTCCCATTTCATTTCGTAAGGAATTATTTTAAAACAAATTTTATTTAATGCAATCAAATATGCGCGGTTTTGTGTGTGTGTGCATGCTTGCGCGTGTGTGTATGTGTGGGTGGGTGTGTCTATACGCTTATCTCTCACATATTCTTGTGAACTACATGTACCTATGGGAGTTCACTCATCTTAAACATCTGCCTAAGAGGCTACAAAAGAACGGTCTATTTTGCGAAGAATCGTGATTAGTTGTTTCTGAAGTTTTGAGATGAGATATTTCCGTTATTATTTGCATATTTGAATCAATTTATTTATTTATTTTTTTTTTCTTTTCTTTTGATATAAAAACAACATTTCAGCCAAAACGCTGTTAGTGTTATCAATAAATTAATGATTGGTCGTTTTTATCGACATGGATAAAGAAAATGTTATCCTACCAGATAATTATTTTGTTATTCCAACATTACGAAAAAAAGTTAAAAAAAACCCCAACAGATTTTGTATGTGTGTGCGAATGCGCATGCGTGATTTGTGAATGGGGTTTTCTTTTCATTCACCCCCCCCTCTCTCTCTCTCTCTCTCTCTCTCTCTCTCTAAAGAAAGTAGCTCCTAAAGTGAGGAAAATGCGAATGAAACAACATTGATTAAATTCGACGTTGGGGTCAGGGTAGCCTGAAACTGGCAAGTTTTGTGATGGGAGGGAATAGAAGATGCAGCGGGCAGAGGAGTGGGACTGAGAAATTAGGGTGTGGTAGTAAATGGTAAGAAGATGAAGATTTCATCAAAACAGCCATTGTCAGGATAGATGCGCGATGAACGTTTTTCGATCCCTCCATTTTTTTAGGTATTATTTTGCAGAATAAGTTGAGGAGAGTGCGAACATATCTTTCACAAGCAATCTTTGCAACCTGTTCTTTCATGTACTTGTAAAATATGCAGTAGATAAATATCAACACTGTCATACTGTTTGAAAGAAAATCAAGAGAAAAAGACAATGTATGCATGTATGTGTGTGAGTGTGTATGAAAGAGAGAGACGGAGAGAGAAAGAGAGAGGAACAAAAACAAAGAAAATGTGTTTAAAATAAAAGGAGTAGACATAACATAGATAGATAGATAGATAGATAGATAGATAGATAGATAGATAGATAGATAGATAGATAGATAGATAATGAAATGATTTATAATAAAGAGATTTAGATAGATAGATAGATAGATAGATAGATAGATAGATAGATAGATAGATTCTGCAGCACTGGGAAACTTTAATCAACTGTGAAGAGGAATGGACAATGAGCGAGAGAGAAATGTATGTGAAAAAAGTCTGTGCTCTTGAGAGAAAAGTTTATAAAATGAGTGAGAAAATAGTTAGAAGAAAGAGAATACGAGACAGAGAGAGGAGGAGGAGAGAAATAAACAGACAGACAGACATTATGTATTATAAAAAAAAAGACAGGCTGAGCGAAGGTATGAAGAAAATGGTGATTGCGTGTGAGTGGTAAGAAATCGAATGTGAAAACGGGAGAAAGAAAATGTCTGTCACTAAGAGAAAGAGCAGGTTGCCTCTGCATATGTCTCTCCCTCCCCCATCTCTCTCTGTGGTGTAATTTGTGATGAATTTTCTCCGAAGAGGCATCCTTTGATTAGTTTTTGGCGATTGGATTATTTATTCTCTATTCTAAAAATATACCAATGCTCTACTTAATGACATTACGCCCGTATACTCAGTTCAATTTGTGTGTTCAGAAATCTCTGTTTCTAAATGCACTTACATTGTATGTATATAAAAGGCATCGAGATAAATAGGTAATATAGATAGATAGATAGATAGATAGATAGATAGATAGATGGATGAAGGTATGGAAACAGGGAGAGAAAGAGAGATACAGAAAGAGAGAGAGGGAGAGAGAGAGAGAGAGACTGGAAACTGGTGGTAGCTTTTCATCTGCAAACAAATATGGTTGGCAGTTTTTGAGCCAATCGCTTTTGTCCTGACAAGGCAATGGCGCGCTGATTGCACATTCGAAACGCTAATCAAGAGCGTATTCTTCCATCGTAGATCTGGTGTCGCTAAGAAGCATGCACGTGTACACACCCACACCTACTCATCCATGCTGTAAGTGCTCAAGTGCGCGTGCACAAAGACACAAGCATACATCCATGAGCAGGAGGAGTTCTGTAATCATTCTTCTTCTTCTTCGTATAAAAAGTACATCAAGTCGTAAGAGTCGAGGCTCATAAGGTAAAGGCGTTAGTTATTTAAGATTCTTCACTGATAGGAATATGTTTTACGATCAAATCATGCAGAAATCAGTGCTTTTAATGTTAATATCAGACATTGAAAAATGTCAAAGTTGATCTGAATTTTGATAGACGACCAGTTTGCGACAGACAAAACAGAATTTAATAAGCAAAAACATGTTTATTTACTCTTATGAGTAGGCTCCCCGATAAGACTTTTAGTAAATTTGGGTGTATGTGTAAAATCTACGATACTTAATTATATGTATCTTTGTAAAATCTCTCAAGTGTGTGTGTGTGGGGGGGGACTGTATGAGGGCAGGCGATAAGTCAGAATTTAGCACAGAGCTACAATCATGAGCACTCTGGGAAAATCGCACCCAGTGCTCTATTAATTGTCTCCTAGACGAGACTGCTGACTCTCTACGGCTGTCATCCTAGTTTTAGAACTGTTGATTGAGTTTTCAAATTTGACCGCAAGGAAGCATCGGCCATATATTCATTAAAATGCTAAAACATCCGGTTTCTGGCCTTTTGATGGGAAGCCTAACAAGAAACCAATGTACACTTCCAGAAGTTCCGACCTCTTTGACGCTCTTTGAGGAGTAGAAGTAGCCGGACAATTTTGTCTTTATCTACACGTACATGAGAGACATCTTCACATTAAATTTGATCTTGCGCCATATTTGTCCTCGTGAGAAAAACGAATAAATAAATAATAATCATTCGATAAACTCATTGAAAGGATTCCTAGCAACTCATGCCTTAAGGAAATACAAAAAATTGTTATCAAAAGTACAGCTTACATCCTACGGAAGGTTTGTCTATGTCAAATGTATATGTGCTTGTAGATTTGTTTTTTTAGATAAATATGCAGTGAAAAATATCATGATGCCATTTCTGATCTTAGGTCTTTGATTGGGACCCGGAAAATCAGTATGTAGCAGAAATCGAAGGAAATAATAATGATGATAATAATAATACAGCAGTCCCTGCAGATTGTAATGTATCTTTGAAGATCTTCAAAAGAACTATCAAAATACAATGATCTTGAAATCAAAAAAGTGGCACATGAGGACGTCCATAATTTTAATTGTAGTTGAAGCCATCGAATTGACTGGAAAAGGTAAGATAGACCAGAGGTTCCTAAACAATTTTGTGCCATGCCTCACTTTGGTATTTCTAAAATTCTGGTGTTCCCCTGTAACATTTAATTCTTGCATGTATGCCAATTACATATGTACATACATACACACAAAATATTTTTATGTATGCATACTGTATATGCATCGTATATATATAAACATCCATTAACACTCTCACTCAGGCTCACTAGAAAGCAATCCACTATTAATAACTCATTCTCGAATTGTCCCCTTTATTCTGTTGGTATAGTAAACCAAAAGGTGCACATACTACGCATGTCCCACCAAAATATTACCATGACCTACCGGTGGGGCATGCGTCCCACTTTGGGAATCATTGCGATAAACTCATTGAAGAGATTCCTGGAAACCCAAGCCTTAAAGAAATAGAAAAAAATGTACTCACAAGTACAGCTCAAACATTACGAAGAGCTTTATCTATGTAAAATGTGTGTGCTCTTAGTTTTTACTTTTTTTTTTTTTTGTTTTTTTTTTTAAATAAAAGGATCAGTGAAAAATGTCATGAAGCTATTTCTGTCATTAGGTCTCTGGTTGGGATCCGGAAGGAAATGTGTATACAACAAAAATCAAAGATAATAATAATATTGTTATTAAAGACCACAAACAAAAAAAAAAGTGCCTCCTTATTGATATGGCAGTCCCTGCTGACTGCAATGTATCTTTGAAGATATTCAAAAAGCTGTCAAAATACAAGGACCTTGAAATAGAAATCTCGAAAATGTGGCATATGGGAACATCAACAATCCCTGTTGTAGTTGGAGCCCTAGGCCTTGGTTGGAAAAGATTGCAGAAGACTAATTGAGGGGATTCCTGGAAGTCCATGCCTCAAGGAGATACAAAAAATTGTTCTGACAAGTACAGCCCACACTTTACGAAGGGCTTTATCTATGTATTTTTTTTTTTTTTTTTTTTTGTCAGTGGAAAGTGTCATGATGCCATTTCTAACCTTAGGTCCCTGGGCGGGACCCTGAAAGAAATGTGTAAACGCCAGAAATCAAAGAAAAAAAAATAATAATAATTGGATGCAGAAATACAAGTAAAGCCCAATACACCGATTGAAGCTGCAAAATACATAAAAAAGAAAGCAAAAACAAATGCAACCGACCAGATACAGAAACAATGGCAAGATAAACCGCTTCATGGCCAACACTCTGCCCGTACCAAACAAGCTGATGTAGACAAGCCCCGTGCCCATCAGTGGCTACGTAGTGCAGGGTTGAAAGCTGAAACGAAAGGTTTTATCCTTGCTGCACAGGATCAGTGCTTGTTAATCAGAAATTATCAAGCACACATACTAAAATATAGTGTTACCCCCAAATGCAGGTTCTGTGATAATTACCCAGAAACAATCGATCAACTTGTATCAGGTTTCACGGTATTGGCACCCACTGAATATAAAACCCAGCATGAAAGAGTTGGCCAATATCTGCACTGGAAAATCTTAACTTCTACGGGAAGGAAACTGAAAGAAAGGGGTACGAACACCACCCAGACCCGGTTACGGAGATAGGATCTGTTACAATTTTATGGGACTACACAATACACACAGACAGAACAGTCAAAGCTAATCGCCCAGGTATCATGATCAAAGACCATAAAAACAGAATGTGCTTTCTTATTGACATGACCGTCCCTGCAGATTGTAATGCATCTTTGAAGATTTTTAAAATATTATCAAAATACAAGGAGGTTGAATTGGAAATTTCCAAAATGTACTACATGAAGATATGAATAATTTCAGTCGTAACTCGGACCCTGGGTTTGATTGGAAAAGTTTCTGATATACTTGTTGAAGGGATCCATGACAGCCTATGTCTTGAGAAAATACCAAAAATTGTTCTTATAAGTACAGCTCACATCCTACGAAAGGCTCTATCTTTATAAAATGTGTATGCATTTTAAGTTTTTTTAGAAATGTGGATACAATAGAAACTCAAAGAAAATAATAATTCTAATAATAATAATAATAACCGTGATAATTTTACAGTTTTCTTTGCGGTTTTCCTTGCGAATTCTACGTCTATAAAATGTCCATGGAAATTCCCGTATTACATCGTTAAATATTTGACATTAACAGTTTTAAGTAAATATTTCAATAAAAATCCTATGAATTCAGGTCATTATTAAAAGAAGTAAGAGGGTACAAATGAAAAGATTAATAATTGACATATTTTTCGATTTCACTAAAGCAGACACTAAACACATGAGAGCATTATCGCTTCAATCTTCTCTTTTTTATGGGTTTCGTTTTTTTTTCACTGAAACTAAACAGCGTCTCTGATATGTCTTTTCCGTTTTTCCACGCGATCAAAATGGACTAGTCCATTATTTATGAGATATTGACAGGACTTAATGGTTGTGCTAAGGAACGATGAAAGAAACAGAATTAGATGATAATAATAATTTGCCTTCCTTGACAATATTTTCCTGTTGAAAAGTGAAAACTGAAATGGGTAAATGCATTACCGAAAGCACACGGAAAAAAACAACATTTGGACAGTTTTTGTATGATTTATCTACTGAAAAGAAAAAAAATTACAAGATCACATGAGAAATTATATAAAATACTTTTCATGGCTTATCAACCTTTTGCGGGTTATTTAAAGCAAGAAAATATTTTTAGATTATGAGAATTTTTTAGATAATAATGATTCAGTGATACATGTGCTGCTCACCCGACTAGAAGTGGAACTCGGCTAGCGCCAATTTCCATTACACCATCCGGTATTCCCAAGCTATTACCCATCTAGATACTTACCAGACTCGACGTTGCTTAACTTCGGTGATTGTACGAGATCCGGTGTTTTTCAATGTGATACGGCCGTAGGCTGTCATTATTGTTATTGTTTAAACTGGTTTATTCATTCTATCTGGATTTTTGTTACGAAAAGTTATCATTATTTACATTAATTATTCGGACAAATATATTTCAACCTTGAAATGGCTAAATGTATTGCCGAAAGCGCTCGGAAAAACAACATTTGGACAGTTTTTGTATAATTTATCTATTGAAAAAAAATCACATGAGAGATTATATAAAAAAAAAATTAATCAAAGCACCTTGTCTTTCATAGTTAATGAAACTTGCATATATATATATATATATATATATATATATATATATATATATATATATATATATATATATATATAGGTGGGTTTAAAAATCTCGTGCTCCACCCCGAATATATGATACAGGACCCTCCACTATACTACATTTCTATTTATTATTAAGGTAGTATTCATATAAAATACAAATTTTGTCTTAACCTAATTATATACAATAATGGATCATAATTGATCATATAGATGAACAATTCAACTGGAAAATTTGAAAATAAATACAATGTATGTAAATACAAATTAGAGATATGTTATTCTAGATCATTCCATCTTAAATAAATCAAAAATGTTCTGCGGCAGGTTTTAACATCAATTTCAGATTTTTATTGTTCAAAAGTTGAATAATTTTAACACATTTAACATTATGGATAAAAAATAGTGAATTTTATATAGTGTGTGTGTGTGTGTTTTTTTT